AGGCCCTCCCTGGCCCCAGGCAGGCAGGGGTGGGGAGAGGCGGGGAGGAAGCAATTTACCCTCCCTCTTCTCCTGCCTCCTCCTGGCTGAATGAGGGCTGGAAGCGGGGCGGCCGGAAGCAAGGGGCGGGGCTTCGTCATGTGCCCCGCCCCCTGCACCTCACCTGGGGGAACTGCGATCCCCCGCGATCCCCCCCGAAATGACCTCTGGTAATGTCCTTTTGGGGTTAGAATTACTTTTACAGTATAATCCAAAACAGTTAATTCTTGGGGCCTTTCCCTTTTTTATCTCTCAAGTTATACTTTGTGCCAGTCGCTCCTTTGTCTTCCTCATCCTTCACCTCTCCATCAGAACTGCTGTCGTCTTCGCTGTCTCCCGGCATCCACTTGGCAAGTTCTGCTTCTTCTTCTGAACTGGCGTGCATCTTCAAAAAGTCTTGAGCTTTAAAGATAGAGTCTATCTTTTCTCTTCTGTCTTTGAATTTAAAGACCAGTCCTTCTGGCACCAACCATCTGTAACTCACTTGATGATTTTGTAAGAACATGGTCAAAATGTTGCTCATTTTTAAGGTGCCGCCAGACTTCTGTTTTGTATTGCTGCAGTAGACAAACACAGCTCCTCCCCTGGATTTGTAAGACTGTCAACACTGGACAAAGGGGCGCCCTTTTGACAAGCAACGTACTTTCTGCCTTTGGCACACTTGGCTAGACTGCATGTCCCGTGGGGTTCCACAGATCTCAATCCCCTTCTCCCAGTACCATTCAGCCTCTTTGTAGAGTCCTTAGTGTTAGGCTGTCCCACCTTGCAGGAGTAGCCTGTAGCGGGTATTCCCACCAGTCGACATGGCAACCCAAGGGAAACTCGCTGGCAGCTGCCTCTGTTGTGGAGAGGGGACCAGTCCTCACTCCCAGGAGAGGGCAGAGTCATGCGCTGTGGAAGAGGGTCCCACTGACCCTTTTCTGCCCAGGAAACATGGAGACCAATGCACAGTTGAAGCACGGTTCTTTGACTCACAACAGGACAGTTAGAGCACTGAAGCAAACCTCCCATCCACTCCAGGCAGAAAGGGACCGACTCCTTTCTCCTTTCCAAAGGCTCTGTCCCTTCGTCCCTTTGAGACAGGAAAGCATCTCCCACAGAGAAAACTGAGAGAAATCTAGGTATATCTGTCTCTATGGAGCACTCCTTGGTTCCCAGGTTTCCCAGATGCCAGCAGTAGCTCCCCACCACCATGGGGAAGAGGATCGATGAGATTATATCAACGACCATGTGCTGTTCTGTGCTGGGGAGAGAGTTCCAGAGCTTTGGTGCCATGGCCAAGAAGGCCCTCTCCCAGGTTGCCACCCACCTGATCTCTGAAGGCCGGGGCACCCGAAGCAAGGCCTCTCAAGACGACCATACAAGAGGGGCAGGTTCATAAGGGAGTAGGTGGTTCTTCAGGTATGTTGGTCCAATACCAGATATAACAAACGAATGGTCTATTTTGTTCTACTCATGGTGTAGACCTCCAGTAATTGATTTTCCCCCACACAGCTAAATCTAGATAGTCTGAGGTAAATAATGTGTGAATATTACGTAGCAGTCAGAGTTAACAGTCACAGTATTTGTGTTTATTTTGCAGATCAGCTGAATGATCAGGAACAGCCATGGGTGGTAAAAGCTCAACTGAACAAAGACTGAGCGTTCTTGAAAAAAACACGGTTGACATTGCCGTCACAGGGGTGTGGGGTGGTGGTAAATCATCCCTCATCAACGCCCTGAGGGGTCTATCAGATTTTGATGCGGGTGCAGCTGGTGTGACAGAAACTACAATGGTGCCAATGTGTTACCCGCACCCCACCTTTCCATATGTAAGAATATGGGACCTACCAGGAATTGGAATGCCTGGGTTTGTAGGAAAGGAATACCTAGAAATAGTCAAGAACAACCAGTATGATCTCTTCATCATTGTGGCTTGTAATCGCTTCACCACCTATGACATCCAGCTGTCCCGTACAATTCAGAAAATGGGGAAGCGGTTCTACTACGTGTGGTCCAAGATGGACATGAGCATTAAGAGTGAAAGACTGCATCCAGACTTCAATGAGGAAGCAATCCTTCAAAAAGTCAGGAAATACTGTTTTGATAATTTGGTGGAGGCTGGTATTTCTTCTCCACAGATTTTCCTCGTCTCCAGCTGGTATCGGGAACACTACGACTTCCCCCTCCTGCAAAGGACCTTAGAGAATGACATTGATCAACTTGGAAAGCGTATCTTAAGACCAGAAGTGCTGCAGGACTCTGAAAAGAGAAACCACGACAGGTATGTTGTGTTTAGTTAGTGGTTTAATGCATGTCTTGATATGGCACATTTTGGGGATGAATAAAAGTTGTATTTTTTTAAAAGAAGGCTCTGGAAAGGGAACAACACGAATCAGTTAAAAGAAAGTTGTAAGATTTGATTTCTCCATGGCCATTCCCCCATGCACTCCCACCCCCGGAAAAGACAACCACATAATTCCAAGGAACTTGGAGCTATGGTTTCAAATGAATAATACCCAGTAATAATTTTATTTGCAGATATATTTCTGAAAACAGTAAATATTACAGCATACTGATTTCCATATATTCTGTAAAATGCTAAAATTCAATATTCAATTTATCACAGGTCTATACGACTGAAGTCTTGACCCAAAGAAAATGCAAAAGGGGTAAAATAGGTACATAAAATTGACATAACATATGACAAGGTGCATAATCACAATCAATAAACACAAAAAACCCAGGCAAAGCCCAGAGATTCAATATTACGGGTATTCCATTCAGCAACTCTACATATTTGGGTATGTATTAACTATGTACCTGGTGGGCACTCTGGTGTTCTTGCAGGTGAAGATTCAACGGAATGGTGCCCCATGATGTCAAGACATCATTTCTCACAAAGGAACTGGAAGTGATGTGTTGCCAAATGGTCTAGGGTTCATTCAAAACTCTGTGGTAAGACCATAGAGTTTTGGGTGAATCCTAGAGTACTTGTGATACAGTGACATCACTTCTGGCCAGAAATGATATTCTGATGGTTAAGGATGCTGTTGTGGTCCCTGCACCTCCCCCCTACCGCTCAATGGGATTAGGTTGGGCAATGGGGGCAGTAGTGGGAGTTCCCCTGCCCCCACCTGGTAAGTGGCAACCCTGGTTGTTAGACAACTGTCGCTCAACTTTATGCTTATTTATTTTTGCAAATAATGACTCCTTGTTCAAATAAAGTAAAACCACAACAACAATAATGTGTTTTTTTCCTGCAGTTGGTTTTACATGGTCAGTCTGTCAAGCCCACCAAGTGGCAAAGAAAATGTAGGAAGATGCCTGCCTATATCTGAATTACTATAGTTTCCAAAAGCTTCTACATCCACACTGGTTGGGAGTAGAAGGTGATCCTTGATTTGAAGAAGACTCACAACAGACAGAAATAGAGAGTCTGGGCTACAGGTTACCAGACCAGCATACCTCTGGATCCAGCAGAAAAGACATTCTCTTATGTCTTAGGGTTTCCAGCTCTGGTGTGGGAAATTCCTGCAGATTGGGGGTGGGGAGGCAGGGTCTGGGGAGGGAAAAGAGCTCAGCTGGGTATAAACCATAGAGTTGATCTTCCAACGCAAATCTGCCATTTTCTCTAGAGCAGGGGTGGCCAAACTTACTCAATGTAAGAGCCACATAGAATAAACATCAGATGTTTGAGAGCCGCGAGATATGAACAAATATTGCACACATGGTTTTATTTAAAGATATGCAAATTTGCTTTTTATTAACATTAAATGAGACTGCCAAAATTCAAAACAAAATGGGTAAAAACAGATATCAATAATGATATTTATTTGTCCAGTGACATATATTTATTTGTTAATGATATTTATTTGTCAAAGAGAGAGAGGTGGAAAGAATGAAAGAGGTGGAAAGAAAGAGTGGAAGAGAGAGAGAGAGAAACAAAGAAAGCAAATAGATGGGAGGGAGGGAGAAAAGGCATGCCTCCCGTTCGCTTCTCCAGCTGCCCTGTTGGGAGCTGCACAATATGTTTGAAAGAGCCGCATGTGGCTCCCGGGCCGCAGTTTGGCCACCCCTGGCCTAGGGGAACTGTCATCCGGAGATCAGTTGTAATTCTGGGAGATCTTCTGGGAGAGCTGGAGGTTTGCATCTCTAGCACCTGGTCTGAGACCATGGGCGATGGCTACAAACATCTTATTGTCTTCCGTTTTGGGATGAACTCAGTTCAGATATTTCTTTTGCTCTCTCTTTTTAATCATTTTGCGATAAACAAATATAAAATTTATAGGTTTGTGCCTGCCACTGATAGGATTTAATATTGTGATTTGTTTTAGTATTGTCTTACACTTCTAACAGCCAAATGCATCTGATAAGGGTTTGTTTTTCTACCAGATCGGCGAAGGCCCTAAGTATGTTTATTTTCCGTCACCGCTAAATCTAGATTTCATTGCACCACAGGCACTCTAGGATTCACCCAAACCTCTATGGTTTTGAATGAATCCTAGACCATGACTCTTATCTAGCAGGAGTTAACTACTGCAACATTACGTTTTTTTTCCAGATCGACTCATCAAGGACCGAATGTGTTGGAAAAAAACACATTTGACATTGCCATCACAGGGGTGTCAGGTGCTGGGAAATCATCTCTTGTCAACGCCCTGAGAGGTCTGTCAGATTTCGCAGAGGGTGCCGCCCAGCCTGATGTGATAGAAGGAACAAAAGAGCCGATGGGCTATCCGCACCCAACCTTTCGAAATGTAACAATATGGGACCTACCAGGAATTGGGACACCTAGGTTTAAAGCAGAGAAATACCTAGAAGAGGTAAATTACAACCGATACGATTTCTTCATCATTGTGGCTTCTAGTCGCTTCACTGTCTGTGACATCCAGCTGTCCCACGCGGTTCAGGAAATGGGGAAGCGGTTCTATTACGTGCGCTCCAAGATGGATAACAGCATTAAGAGTGAAAAAATCAAACCGGACTTCAACGAGGAAGCCACCCTTCGGAAAATCAGGAAATACTGCCTTGATAATTTGGTGGAGGCTGGTGTTTCCTCGCCAGAGGTTTTCCTCATCTCCAATTGGTACTGGGATAAGTACGATTTCCCCCTTCTGCAAAGGACCCTAGAGAATGAAATGGAAGAATTCGAGAGACATGCCTCAGTGGCAGAAGATGAGAGTCATGAGAGGTATGTTGTGTTTAACTAAGGCACGACAACATTTTATTTGCTGACCTGTAATCTGGTGAAAAGGGGCTGCGGTGGCTCAGAGGTTAAGACACTGAGCTGTAGACCGGAAGGTCTGTCGTTAGGCAGTTCGAGACCCTAGTGCCACGTGACGGAGTGAGCTCCCATCTCTGGCCCCAGCTCCTGCCAACCTAGCAGTTCGAAAACAAGAAACTGCAAGTAGATAAATAGGTACTGCTTTGGTGAGAAGGTAACAGTGTTCTGTGCGCCTCAGCATTTAGTTATACCAACCACATGACCATGGAGAAGTCTTTGGACAGTGCTGGCTCTTCAGCTTGGAAACGGAGATGAGCACCGCCACCTAGAGTCAGATTTGACTAGCTTTCGAGCAAGGGAAACCTTTACTTTATTTGGTGAAAAACCCAGTCTAGTTTGCCTATCCTTTCCCATCCCAGTGTGGGTTTCTATGCCCCTGGTAGGTGATACTCTGGAGACCACGTCTCCCATTCTCTCCTGATATCAGGTGTTCCTACCCATGTCCCAAGTGCATAGGAACAATGCTTGTGTGGCTCCTCACTACCATACACCTTCCCAGAGTTCTCTGAAAGGCTGAGGATCACCCGTTTGGTGTAGTGGTTAAGTGCATGGAGAACTATAGTGCCATGGAGCCCACCTTCCAAAGCAGCCATTTTCTCCAACTGAACTGATCTGTCACTTGGAGATCATGTAATAGCATGAGATCTCCAGCCACTTCCTGGAAGTTGGCAGCCCTATCTACAGGGTAATCATACATCAGCTGCGACCTGACAGCACGTTCCAGAACCAGCAAGAGAGTTGTCCAGGGATGCAAAATCATGCAATTTTTTTTTTTAATCTCTTGAATTTTTATTCTGCCCTTCTTCCTCTTTGCAGGTCAGGCCAGTCTATATGATTTTCCATTTTATCCTCACAACAACTCTGCAACGCTGGTTAGGATGATAGACTGAGCCCAGGCTAATCAAATAGGCTTC